ATAAATAATATAAAAACGAAGGTTATAATAAATATAACGTAAAAAAACTTATAATATTTTAAATAAATTTATATATTAAAAACTTTAATTAAAATATAATATTTAAAAAAATTTAAAAAATAAAAATAAATATAATTTTTTTATAAAAAATATTTATAAATATTAATAAAAAAACGGGGAAACGCGTAATAAAATATTATTTTAAATATAATACTTTTATATTAATCGATAATTAAAATATTAAATAATTTTAAATTTTTATTTTTATTAAAAAAGGTTTAAAATATTTTTAATTTAAACTTTTTATATATAATTTTTTATATATAATAAAGGTAAACAATATAATTTTTTATAATATATATAAAAATTTTAATAATAATAATAAAACTTTTAATTTTTTGGAAAATTAAAACCTTTTTAAAAAAGTTTTTATTATAGGAAATTTTAACGTAATATATTAGATATAATAGCCCATATATAAATAATATAATAACTTAAGCGAAAAAATAATAACTTAAACAAAAACGTAAAATTTTAAATTAATATACCGCAATTAAATAATATATAATAAAAAAAATATATTAAACTTAATATTTATAAATATCTTTAATATCGTAAAAAAAATCAATTAATAAATTAATATTTTAATAAATTATTAAATAATTATATATTATATATTAATAATATTAGTAAAAAATACAAGGTTAAATAAATTAAAAATAAATTTTAATAATATTTTTAAATTTATATAATTAACTTATACATATATTTATACCGTTTTAAATAAAATTAATATAAAAAAAAAAATAAAAAAAATAACGAATAAATTAATAAAATTCTTTAACCGATATTTAAAAAATGTAAAAATAAAAAAAAAAAATATAAGCTTTAATATTTTATAATAAAATAATAAATGTAAAAAAATTAATAAAAAAGTAAACGTAGTAAAAAATAATAAAATAATTAATATAAATGTTTAATAAAAAATTAATAAATAATTTAAATTTATAATAAAAGTAATTAAAAAAGTTTATTAAATAAATATAATTTAAAACGTAAATATATTTAAAAATACCTTTAAATTAATTAATTAATGTAAAGTAAGTAATAAATTTAAAACCTTTTTTATTAAAGGCTTAAATAATTAAATAATAAATAATATAATTAAAAAAATCAAATATTTTAAAAATATAATCTTAATATTTAACGTTATAAAAAATAACATTTTAAACTTATAAAAGTCTTTTATAGTTAATAAAGTAAAACTTATTCCGTAAAATTTCACAATTATTTTTTACAAAATTAAAATCTTTTATATTTAAATTGTAAATATATTTTTAAACAAAGACAAAATATTAACATATTTATTTAAATATGTTTGGCCCGTTTTTAAAAAAAAGATCCGCATTTTTTACAAAGTAAATATATAAATAAAATATTATTTAATAACTTTTTAAATAATAAACGTAATTATATTATTAAAAATTAACAAAAAAAATTTTACGTTAATAAAATCTTAACGTTTAATATTTTTTTTATTTTATTTAAATAAAAGATTAAAAAAGATTATAACTTATTATATGGCCATATTAACCATTATATTTAAACTATTTAACCTTTAATATTTTAAAACATTTCTTAAATAATTAGCTATAAACTTAATAATATATATTATAAATAATATAAAAAAAACTTTTATAAATAAATTTAAAATATCTTTATTAATTATAAACGTTTTTAACGCTTTTAATATAATGTTTAAAAGAAAATTAATCTTTTATTTTTACAAATAAAATTAGTTTTTAAAAATAATTTATTAAATTAAATCTTTTATAATAAATAAATCGGTTTTAATTTATTTAAAAAATAAATTAATTTTTATAAAATCTTTTTTTTATAAAATCTTTTAAGATTTCCCAATTTTACCAATTTTTTTTATATTTTATATTAAACTTTTTTTAAACCAAAATAACCATATAATATACTTTAATTATGTAAATAATATAACCCTTTTTTAAATAAAACTTACCATTATTAAAACTACAAATTTATTAATTAAAAACGTAATAAATATTTTCGAATAAAAAATCAAAAATGTTATTATTTTTCTCTTAAAAAAATATAAATTTATACATTTTTATAAATAATATAAACGTATAAACCCGATAAAAATAAGTAATTTTTAAATATAATTAATTAATAATATAATAAAATAATTAAGAATTTTTTTTAATTTTAAACTATTCTTTTTACCTTACGCAAAAATATAAATATCTAAAATATTAAAAATAATAAAATATTTAAAAAAATTAAGTAAAATATATTTAAACGCGTTTTTAACTTTTATAACAAAAATGGCCGTAACATACGTCTTTTCTTTAATTATATATAAAACAAAAACCTAATAATTAAGTTTTTATAAACTAATAATTAAATATAAAAGCGATATAATTAATATTTAAAAATAATAATATATAAAATTTTTTAACTTAATAATTAAAATGGTAATAAAGGTAATATTACTTATTTAAAAAATTATAAATATTAAAATTTTATATCGGAAATTAAACCTTTTACTAGTAAAAATCTTTTTTAAATAAACTTAATTTAAATTATTAATATAATTATATAAATTAAACGTTTTATACCTTTTAATTAAACGATTTAACCTATTGTTTTAAAGTAAAAAAAGTAAGTTAATAATTTGTTTAATACTTTTAAAATATATACGATTATAATAAATAATAGTAATAATATTATTTAATTTAAAACCAATACTTATAAACCAAATATAAAAAACGTAACTTTTACCAATTTTAAATAATAAAAAATTTAGTTAAAATATATATTACGTTTGGTTAAATAATATTTTATTAAAATATATAGTAATATATTTAAACGAATTAAAAAACGAAACAACGGGTTAAAGATAAGTTGCGTATTTATAAGTTTAAATTATAAGTAAATAATATAATACTTTTAAATAAACGGAAATATTTAATATAAAAATTAAAACTATATAAAAAACGTTTAAATAAGTTTTTATAAAACCATTAAATACTTTTTATTTTTATTTTAACAATATAACGGTTATTTTAAAATTTCTCGGATATTTTTTAAATAATATATAAAAGGTTAAGCTAAATTTTTAAAAAATAATTAAAAAATTAAAAAATTAATTAATATAATAATTTCTCGGGCATATAAAAATATTAGGAAATAAAATAGCAAATAAAAAAACAAAACGCAAAATTAAATCGGGATTAAAAGATTATATACCGAATAAATTTTCCATTTTTATATATTTAAAAAAAATAAATAAAAAAAAATGCCAATATTTATATAAAAATTAATAAATTAAGAAAAGTTTAAAAAAATATAAAAAATTCGGATTATATATAACGTATATATTATTTAAAAAGTTAAAATTAATATGTTTTATATTTTATAAATTTATTGCCGAACGAAATAACTATAAAGATTTTATAATTTATTACGTAAAGTTTAAATACTTTAAATGTAATAAGCTATGTTAATGCGGTAAAAATATAAATAAAAAATACTTTATAAAATATAAAATAATATAAAAGAAATTACTTAAGTTAAAACCATTAAAAGGATTTTTAAAATACGTGTTTAAACTTATAAAATATCGGAACTTTAAATGGTTTTTTTAAAAGGTTAACCTTTACGTTAAAAATAATAATGATTAAGCTTATTATAAAATAAGGTTTAAAATAGGTTTTATTACTGAAAATAAATAAAATTAAATTTTATTAACTATTAATTATAAATAGCCATAATATTTTATAAAACTATTATACTTTTTTTTATCGTTTTTTTTATATTAAATAATACTTTAATTTTATTCCTTTTAAAAAAATACTTTAAACGTTTAAAACGCTAAAAATGCGCTGTTATAATTACGCAAGTAAATATAACAAACCAATAAACGTAAACGTTATCATTATCATTAATTGTTTCCTAAATACTTACCTCCTACTGAAGTTTCATAAAATAATAATCCGTTTTAAAAAGAATAGCTTAACCGGGTCAAATATGGTGACGATAGGAACGTTTCAGGATGGGAAGTGTTAGAAAGTAAAGGATAGGCAGATAACTGCTTTCTAGAGAATATGACATATCTAAAGAGATAGAAGTATTTAACAATAAACATGTTAATAGGCTATAATAACTCTATACTAGTACAAGTAGAAATACGACAAAGGTGGTGTTCTACTTAATCTATTGGGTGGCAAGCGGATATCATGTTTAATTAAGAACATAATTTCCAACTCCTAGGGAACAAGGGCTTTATGAGGTAGTCCTATACACAGCTACGTCCAAACCTCCGGCTGTATACTTAAAAGTCCTTAAGGAATGGCATAAGTATTCTACCCAAAAGCCACCTCCCAATACGCACCAAGCAAACGGCTTCTTTCAATAGCTATAGCTTCGTCGAAAACAAAGACCGAAGAGGAGCGACATTAGATGAAATAAAACAATGCCGTTTCTTTATTAGCGATCTCTATAAGGGGTCAGGAGTAATCCTACATGTGGAGCAACCAATCTTACCACCTCATACCTTCAAGTATGGCAAAGCTCCAAATTCATTTCTCTCGCCATGTATCAAATGAAATATATTCTACGAAATGACGTGTAAACCCCATTTACCTCATGTTTATTAAGGGTTCGCCGCTTACTCTCCCTGAAACGATCATGGCATGTTCAATATTATTAATTTCAAAATTTGCTAGGTAACACATCTACCATGCAAAGTAAACCTATACTCCGTCGCCAACTTCATAACAATGTACGTTAGTTACGAAACATTGTGCGTGCGTAGAAAGAAAGAAGCGTACGGATGATCACATCCTTGCCAGCCTATCAACAACTATATTGCGCGTGATCAAGTTCTCTGTTACACATGCTCTTGATAGATATTGTAGAGCCATAGCTTTGGCAATATATATATGCTATATCCTCCGATTATGTAAGAAACTTTTATCATTCGCTCCTTTAACCTCGGGATTTAATTGATACTGATTTTGTAGACCAGTACCGTGCAAGGAAATCGTCACCCATGTGTTATCACGTCACTCTGGAAATCTGCTGCGAGGAGGAGTTTTCAAATTCCTTCCCAAATACCCTTCTATTAGTGAGGTTCTTCGTCCTCTGCCACGCAGCGAGGATAGCTTGGGCACTCCAGGAACTCGAACATGGCGGGCCACCCCGCCCCCCGATGCCACTGGTTTGTATTAAGAACTGCCCAAACTATGACCCCGAATATATTAGGCTTGAACGTGTATTCTTCACTAGGTGCGAGAATTGTGTTAAAACAAAAGGCCCAGAGAAATATGGACTCAATGATGACGATATGCCTATCATTATACATCGTGATAGGCTTCTCCGTGATCAGCTCCATGCGGCAGTCGCTTTGAAACCATACGATGAAGTAGTATTGCGGCTTTATACCGACTTTAATATTCACCAACGATGGATATTAAGCGGCTCGCGATGGATCGTGGCTCATATCCCTATCGGGGGGAATGATCCACTGGGTCCGAACCCGACATACGATTTAGAGGGCGTGAGATGGTGGCTAGAACAGAGGATTGGCGGTATACGTCAAGATGTATTGGACTGGCTTAAGAGCCTTCCACCGTCAACGTTCGGTCCTGATGAGCCACAGTCATCATCGGTCATGGAACGTTGCCCCTCGCTGGCTAGTGAAAGTCCCCTACCAGACGAGGATCTCGATTCGTTATTTGATGGTGAGGACGACGAGGACGACGAGGACGAAGATGATGGGGATAAAGATGACGAGGACGACCGTCCGCGATCGAGGGCGAGTGTGAATTCGGATTCATCGATGGAAGGCTATGAATGGTACGATAATTGGGCAGAACATCACGCCTATTTACCTGCCAAATGTACCTACGAAGAATTTCGTGCCCTGCAAGCAAGTCGCCGGCAAGGTAACTCGCAGCCTCAAGGTTTGACTGGGGTAATACCCGAAGCGAAACAATGAAGAGCATCGCATTATTGCCCTGGCCTTGAATCTTTAAACATAATCCGAAGGTTGTGGTAGGTAGTGTAAAAGCTATGAAGCACTGAGTTGAACGGATTGATATGGCATAACTGGAATCACGAATGATCACTAAAGATTTGCTGGTGCTTCTTAATGGTTTTATTGTATCGAAGAGATACTTCTCGATATTTAAATAAGCCGATGTGCTCTATTGGCATGGCTGCGACTTTTAGCATAGCGTGTGCTTTCCTACTGTATGCCTCCTTCTATTAGATATTAATAGTATCGAATCCAATGCAGATATTTTCGCTTCCCATATTCCTCCCTCAATTCTCTCCTCCAATAACCCTAGCAGTCCCTTATCATAGACCTCTTAAGCAGAGGGGGCAACGCAGTCGATCTCCTGGACGAAGTCGTGAGTCCATTCCGAGGTGGCGGGGAGGTCGTCCAGAGTCGCGCACTGAGGCACGAAGTTGACAGCGGCGCAGTTCTCCGGCAGAGTCTCGCCCTCATACACGTACCGCACAACTTGAATGTTTGTACGCACGTAGCCGATGAATCGGTCGCATACAGCATAGTAGCCGGGTGCGAGACCACTGAGCGCCACCGAGTCTCCAGACTGCTCAATCGTAATTCCGTTGCTGCCGCCGCCCACGTTAATGCTCGCATCGTGCTCGCCAGGGTAGGTAGCATCGGTGCTTTCCGAGTCTTGTACGATGAAGCCCCACGGGAAGTCGGTGCCCAAGTCGTTCAGAACATCAACCCAGCCCTGTGCTTCCGTGCCGTTGCTGTAGTAAGGTGTGGAGGAGCCAGGGTTACTCGCGGACACGACCGCGATGTTCTGGCCAGCGCCGACGTGGATGCCGGACAGATAAGTGCCCGCAACGGGAGGATCTAAATCCTTGGTCTGGTCTCGGAGTTCTGCCTTGAGGTGGAAACCCTTAGACCTGGAGAGTTGTTGGGCAGCCTGCGGGACTGGAGTAGCGCCGACGAGGGCGAGGAAGGTAAGAGGTGTGATGATTGAGGCGAGCATTTTGAATATTAGATGGTGATATTTAGTATGATATTAAGGATATCGAATATCAATTAAATGTATTAGATATTAATATGTAATTGTGTTTGAAGTATTGGTTGATTGAATGAGATTTTTTTCTTTGTTCGAGAGCGATCATCCCGACCTTATATGTACTCCTGGCGATCGTAGCCCAACATCTCTCGTGGCGATGCACGAGCCCGAGCTAGGTAGAGACCGATTCCGAGATACAGATGGAGAATCCCCTTTCCAATTCTTCATCGGGAACGTTAAGCCATCTCGGACCACGCGAGCCAACAGTTGTCAACACGAAAGCTGCGGTCACCCGTCAGCGGCTTAACAGCATGTAAGACTTGTCTTGAGATCGTAGACCCACGTATATCATGAAGATGTCTGCTGATTGGACGAAAACCAATTTTTACTTCATTCATGTAGATCTGGACTGTGTTTGTTTTAGAGGCTGAGCTCGAGATCACGAGGCGGCGCGGTAACCGTGCCGCTAGAGAGCCGCCGACCAATCCGAGTCAAGTCGATCACTTTTCGATTTGTCTTTTTCTTAAAATAGCGCGGTACGACGCATGATATGTTATATCACCACTGATCTTTGGGGTTTAGTGAGTATCGTGATATATTTCATACTATGTTCTACTACTGCTACTTTCATCATAACAACTATGTATACGCCACGAGAAAAGCCACGATATCATGACAAACTTATTTGATTAATAATTGGCGGAAATGAGATATTATTCAAAAGGCTATTATATCAAAATTTCCATACGTCATTGACCTTTTGTTAGCCCCTGAGACTGTGCGCAGACGGACTAGGGTTATCAATGGCTGCAGCATACGATAGTAACCAAAGGATCGTCCATGAAATAAGCTAATAAGCAGAGTAGAATTCGGATTACATGTAACTAACGAGTGACGTTGCATACTACTACGATTTTTTAGTTCGCATTAACCACACAGCGGCCATCCCGTCAAGTGGATGTCTTAACAAACTCCCATTTCACACCTTTCCGTATGCTTGAATCATATCCCGTGCTCATGCGTTGATGCAAGGCTTGTCGCAATGGGCGATGAAGTTGGTGTCAGCGTCGTTGCGGCATTTGCTACTGCAGGCACACAAGAGCTCAACGTTAGACGGCTGCTCGTTCATGCAGACAAAGACAGCTTCGGAAACATTTGTCTTGGGCTTGCTATTTGTGCAGAGCTCCGAGAGGCCATTGCAATAAGCCTTGCTGATATCATTAGGTGCAAAATCTATACAAGTTAGTAAGTAAAGATTTCCCTAGTTTGATTACCCTTCAGCTAGGGATCGTACTATGACCGTTTTCAGTGAGCATATAGCCACAGTAGGTATAGCCTTTGCCACATTTTGGACCAATACCCTGGGAACTGCTTGGTACAGGGGCCACGCCGGATGTAGACGAAGGGGTTCCAGCTGGAAAAGAAGGCTGGCCGGTTGACGAAGTGAAAAGCGTGAGCGCAGAACCCGTCGAGTCAACCCGTGGAAGCGGGCCTCTCAAAGCCAGAGAAGAACCAGCTAGAAGGCCGGGACCGAAAAGAATGGCGTGAAATTTCATATTCGAGTACAGGGGAGCTGCACCGAGGAAGTGCTTAATATATGGCAGTTAGCTAAATAGCTAAATAAGACGAGGTTGTTAATGACTTCGCGATGACCCCTGGATATCGCATGATCCATCGTCTTATATAGAGCTATCTCAAATGAATATAGACATTCATAAAATACGAAGTAATATCATAATTCTGGTGCAGGCAATTGCCACAGGTGACAGACGACCCAGATGTCCAAAGACTACGACACGTCCCTGGTGAGACGTCTTCGTGATATGTTCGGATGCCTTATGCGGAAGTGAAAAGCGAACCATAACAGTGACTGCCGCCCTATATTGAATATCTACCTGAGTATTTTTTAGATAGACTGTAGGGTTGGTCTATCTTAATGTGTTCGTGCTGTATTGTGTGGGAACACAACGAAGTGTAACTTCGTGGGCTTCCTATTTTAGGAATGATTACCGCGAAGTATAGGTTGACAAGTTCGGTATCATGCACATTCTATTGAAGCCGATATATAAGTGATACCTGAACTTGGAATCCGTAGGCTTAAAGGCTTATATACCGAATAAAGTAACGTCGGCCAGACATCTAAAGCCAGGAACAGCATCTCGATATGCGTATCCGCCCTGCATAATCGAACAACCAGCTGTGGTACAAAATGCAGCTAATGCATGCTGTGAGTCCTCGCCTGGTGGGAATGTGATTCTAGAACTTGTTATGAAGGGCCGAATCGAGAGAATAATATGGAGGTTAGTTGGTAAGGTGACGTGGTTGTGAGGACGTTTTACAATTTTCGTGTCTGGCCAAGTTGTTGATGTGAAGGTATAGGACAACTGCCACATACTCGGAATCGGTCATCCCTAGCACCAGCTGTTAAGCCTTGTTTGGGAATATTATAGCTGAGTAGGAGAAATGGCCTTGGCTCGCTAATAATACTTCAAGTTACGGACATACACGGTTCCATGAATCGGGAGTTGTCTCGGGAATTAGGAAAAACATTTTGTGAAATTGTTCGAAACAGCCTTATTGTTTTGGCCCCGCCGGGCTTGTCCAAGTGGAATCACCTTAATTCGAATGTCTATAGTGTATTAAAAATTCTCTCAGTGAATCTCTATATAGTAAGCAGTTCCAATATCAAAATGTAAGGGACGGAAGGTTTTATTTAGCGGAGGACGGCCGATGGACATGCGGGCCGAAGCTGATTACCCCTGCAGGTCCCATCAAGGGTCCAGTGTAAAAACTTTAGATCTATCGATAGGTACATACAATTGTACGCCTTACTATATGACACACGGAAGTACCTGATAAGAAACGCCCCGCAGCTGACTCTGAAATTGCCCCTCCATCTTCCCGCTCTACCAAGTCTGGACCCCGCGAAACCCGCCCAAACTTCCGGCCTCGTCTCAATCAAGTTTGCCTGCCAGGTACTTTCGTCAGTGACTAGGTCCCTGAATATATGCAGGAATAAGGCTTATGAGAGCATCAATTCCAGTTCCATATCCTTCCCTACTTAAACGTCTTCTAACCATCCCAATTGTACCTTCCTATCTACATCTATAGGAAAAAATGTCGGCCTCCGCTACGCAACCCATTATAACATCCTCGACGCCAGAGGCGCCGAAGCTCACGATCAGGGTCGGCACGCGCAAGTCAAAATTGGCCTTGAATCAAGCCGACTATGTCGCTACCTCTCTAAAGCAACTACACCCGACGGTCAATTTCGAGATCAAGGGAATGCATTCGACAGCGGACAAGGACAAAATAACGGCGCTGTATAAGTTTGGTGGCAAGGGACTATGGACGAACGAGCTAGAAGCAGAACTCGTGGCAGGGGAGCTCGACATCATTGTACACTCTCTAAAGGATATGCCGACGACGCTGCCAGAGGGGCTCATTCTGGCCTGCGTAACACCTCGAGAGGACCCACGTGATGTTGTTGTCGTCAAGAAAGGACTGGAAGATAAATACAAGAAGCTGGCAGACCTACCAGCGGGCGCCGTAGTTGGAACCAGTAGCGTTAGACGCATGGCGCAAATTAGACGACGGTACCCGCATTTGGAGTTCAAGGACATGCGCGGCAACATCGACACTCGGCTTCAGAAGCTCGACGCTGAAGACAGCGGGTTCTCGGTGCTGATCCTAGCCGCTGCAGGCTTACACCGGATGGGTCTGGACGGGCGCATCGCACAATACCTCGATAGCACTACGGAAGGTGGCGGTATGCTACACGCCGTTGGCCAAGGTGGCCTAGGCATCGAGGCGCGAGCAGACGATCAGAAGACGCTCGACTTACTAAAACCCCTCGAGGACGTCAAGGTCATGTTAGCGGCAGAGGCAGAAAGAAGTGTCATGAGGACGCTAGAAGGCGGTTGTAGCATTCCCATCGGCGTAGAGACAAAATGGGTAGGAGACAACACGCTGAGATTAACAGGGACAGTTGTCAATGTCGAAGGCACAGAAGCCGCCGATGCCGAAAAGGTCGAAGAGATCAAGACGCGGGAGGAAGCCATAGCGTTCGGCAAGAAAGTAGCCCAGCAGCTAACGGACAACGGCGCGCAAAAGATCTTAGATGTGATAAATGAGGACCGAGAGGCCAATAAAGATAAGGCGAAACCGTGGGTACCGGCGTAGAGTTGCCATATAGAACTGGGGCAAAAATCTAGGCTTATAGGGGAAGATGCGGACAATGCTTTTTTAGACTTGAGCCGTCCATTCTATGTAACCTTAATGTAGAATCTGCGCGGATGCTTTCGCCATGATGATGAGAATACCCCAAACGAGTTTATGATACAAGGTTGAGCCCGTCTCTGTCCCACTCGCTGGTTGTTGAATGCCAATATCCATTTCCGGTGAACACCTGCCCCCCATAACACATCACTTACACTTAGAACTCCCCACCCCTTTCATATACGGTCTAGTGTTCCTCCGAGCCGGTAAACGTCTTGTACTCCTCAGGGTCCATAAGAGCGTCAAAGTCCTTGACGCCCTGCTCGCCAACCTGGACCTTAACGATCCAACCGCCGCCGTGCGAGTCGTCCTCAGGAACCTGGTTGATGGTGCCAGGCTTCTCCTCGAGGGCTAGGTTTACACCGGTAACCTTGCAGGCGATGGGGGCGTTGATATCGGCGGCGCTCTTGACAGACTCGACGGCGCCGATAGCATCGCCCGCGCTAACCTCCTTGCCCTCCTCGGGCAACTCAACGTATACAACGTCGCCTAGCTCCTCAGCGGCGTACTCTGAGATACCGATTACGCCAGCCGTCTTTTCGGCGTTCAGATCGATCCATTCGTGGTCCTTGGTGTACTTGCGGATATCTCCTGCGGTGGCGGTTAATGGTGGTCAGCAACAAACCAAGAATGCAATGCTTAGGTGTGCTTGTGCATGTGTCTGTAAGCGGTATTTTGGGGGCTTTGGTGGCTTGGTTGAAGGGCGACATCGGATAACTCACTTATCGGTGAAGCAGAGAAAGCTCGCAGGGTCGCGGGTTGCCAACTGGATCTTGTGCGCGGTGCTTGTGCTAGTCGAGAAAAGGTCGACGGTCTAGCTGCCCGAAGGCATCGCGCGATTGAGGCCATTATGAGAGTAGAGTAGAGTATGACGAAATAGTTCGTAAGAGGGGAGATGTTGTAGACCGCAGCTTTGACGAAGCTAGCTTTTTCTTTCGAAGCTTTGTGCTTAGGTAGGTACTAGTACTGGTACTGGTACTGATATCGTATCGATGATACCACTACTTTGAAATTGTTTAATGTTGGTACGATCCTCTCAGCTTGGCGCCGAACAGTTACCCGATATATGAGCCCGCACTGTTTATCTTAGTGTATCATTCACCGAGCCACACAGTGCGTTGTGCCGACGTCTATCACAGGATCCGATAAGGTATTAGCCAATCCAAACTCCTCAATTGCCCCGCGTCATGATGAAAACTCCGGGTTATTCCACTGGACCTCAATTGATAAGAAACATCATTATAAGCATATCCATGAAACTCCAATAATTCTTTTAGATGGAAAACGCTTCGATAAGACCAAAGGCGCGCTACTTGGAGAAGAAATCCTGTCAAGAAATGTTACTTGCAGGGAATAATTCGACACATCTCATTGGCCTAAGTCAGTACGCAGAAGAGTACCTAGGTATATAGGGGGCAAGATAGAAATGAAGGGGAATAACTTGAAGAGTAAGTCTATCTCAAAAAGTGTTGACAAACGAGCAGTTAGAGCCATGCTATTCAATAATACAGTAGGCCCCTCCCGGGCAACATTCAATCCATACCATGAAGTCAATCCAGTTCTTCAGTTAAGACTGTTCAACATAAGAATGCCTATAACTTTGAGTTCTAATCGATGAAATCCATGGCCTGACTTAAATAGAATATTTTGAGCCGATCAGACTCGTTTATGTGATTAATCGAGACAGCCTATCTTTACCACCTCCTACAGGTGGTCAATGTGTATACATTGCTTTGCACCAAAAGTGGCAGTTATGGACTTCCGCCATGTTGTTGCGACGAGTGGGTCGTATTATCTGTTTAGTAGTGACTCTATGACTTAAAGACTTAGCCCATTAGTTAATAGAAGTCGGTCGTTGTTGTCGTGTATCCTGGGTAAACAGGTTTAAGTAAACATTCCTCTAAAAGCGCCTTTTAGCTCTCGATATCCTTATGTCTCTTTGTTGCCACTATAATAGGTAGGTACCTACTTGTTAGGTTGTCTTTCTCTTTCTGTAATTGGGGCGAGTCGATATCATACTTAGGTGGGACATTATAAAGGTTCCACTGCTTGAATAATAGGTCGGCTATCGTGAGAAGAAAATACTGGCTGAGACAAACACGAACCGCGCCCAGATAGGCAGCATAGCAATAAAAGCATTAGCGAATCTTATATGAAGTCTGAAGTACTCTATATCGTAATTCAAGGGCTCCTATATATTCAGCCATCGTGCTAGTGATTCGCCTCCGACTACTCGCTAAATAATAGTCACTAATACATCCAAGCGGGACATTCAGAGTTACACAGAAAAATAGCCGCACAGAAGTAAAGGATCTTAATAAAAATTATGGAAGTTAATTCGATGAATAATTTCAAGTTTGAACGTGATACTTCAATGTGATTGGTCTGGACCCGATGCTAGTAGATACGCCCTTCGGAGGACATATGCCTAGACAGGGCGGAAAGGGGCGAAGGCCCCTAAGAAGGAAACATCGTGGTATTGTTGAATTCAGTTAAAAATGCTTTGATTATCCATACCTAGAACTTTCCATATAAACTCCAGCGCTACTTGTTCAAATTTCTGAATATTCAATTACCATTATCATTGTCGCTTAGATCCAAGTGACCTAGTAACTTTTCTACCATGACGGTAGACTTTGTCAAGAAGACATGTCTCTTAGCAGGCTGCGAGAATAAGGCCGAGTCCTTGCAATGCCCAACATGCCTGAAGCTGGGTATCGACAACAGCTACTTTTGCTCACAAGACTGCTTCAAAAGTGCTTGGGTAATGCCCCTCTAGCACCTTAACCCACACATTTTAGACACTCGTGTCCAGGATCTTTAACCTGATCATCTCGAACACTAATACCATATAACAGGCCGAACACAAGAAGATACATAAAACCTTCCTAAATAAGATGCAGAATGGTATTTACTAAATCAACTATGTCGAGGGCATTTCTAAACTGGTTATAGCGACCGGGACGGGAACGTATAATCCGTTCCCTTCGTTCTACTTCACCGGGCCACTACGACCGGTTTACCCGCTCTCTCCAAGGCGCGAAGTCCCAAAGACGATACGGCATCCAGACTACGCAGAAACGGGAATCCCGACAAGCGAGTTGAAGCTCATTAGGAATAAGATCGACACCCTGGACGTTGAAGGACAAGCTGCTATGCGTAAGGTCTGTAGGCTAGGACGAGAGGTATTGGACCTTTTAGCAGCCGAAGTCAGACCTGGGATTACCACAGATTATCTTGACGAGCTCTGCCATAAACTCTGTATAGAACGGGATGTAAGTGCCTTTGTGTTAACCCCCGAATTTTCTGCGATGTTAATCATATCCAGTCCTATCCCTCCCCGTTAAATTATAAAGATTATCCCAAGTCGTTTTGCACGTCCATAAACGAAGTGATTTGTCACGGCATCCCGGACCAGCGTGTACTCGTCGACGGCGACATCATCAACTTGGACGTTAGCTTGTATCACGGAGGATACCACGCGGATCTGAACGAGACATACTATGTTGGCGACAAGGCAAAAGCAGACCCCGATACTGTCAGAGTGGTTGAGACGGCAAGAGAATGTCTAGAAGAAGCGATCAAAGTAGTGAAGCCCGGCTATCTGGTCCGAGACTTTGGCGCCGTCATCGAGAAATATGCAAAATCAAAAGGTTGTAGTGTCGTCAGGGACATCGTCGGACACGGCGTCAACACTCATTTTCACAGCCCACCTAACGTTCCTCACTACGCCAAGAACAAGGCTGTTGGAGTTTGTAAGCCTGGAATGACGTTTACTATCGAGCCTATGGTTTCTTTGGGGAAGCATCAATTCGTGACATGGCCTGATAACTGGACCATTACAACGATTGATGGGAAGAAGTCGGCGCAATTCGGTGAGTTTACCTAGACGTCTATTTATATGTGTTCGGAGAATTCATATGACTGACATATATTTCCTAGAGCATACATTGCTGGTGACAGAGACGGGCGTCGAGATATTGACCGCTCGGCTACCAACATCGCCTGGCGGCCCTGTTCGTACGCTGGAAGATGTTTGACTGTTACTTTAGCGATACTATGATTTGCCCGAGTTGCCCGAGTTTACGAGGGATATTGTCAGACGATCTTTTTGCCTGGCTTTTTTTTCGAAATAGGAAGTTCGTCCGTGCGCAACGTTCGAGCGTTTTTATTGGGTGCATCCTCGAATTCTCACGTGCTCTTCCAGATCCCCACT